CCGCCACCGCCACCGCCACCGCCACCGCCACCGCCACTACCTCCACCACCACCATCGCCACTTGGACCCCTCGTCCAACCGGGACAATTTTTCCAATAGACTCCGATCCCCGGTCACCCTCTCGTCCATCCAAATCTGTTTATGTAATATCGTTTCGCTCCTTCATCCGCAACTCGACACGTGTCTGCCTCCTCGATAAAAGAAAGAGGATGTGGACTTTTTTGTTGGCTATGGGCGTTTTACAAACGATTTTCATGAGACTAAACCGCCTTCGTATGCCGCGAAATAATGAATTATTTATTCGACCCTGCTCGATTCGCTTGCTCCATTTTTCAATTAACAATTTATCCCTATAGACGGAAAGCCGGTATTTGATCTCGGCTCTTGGATCTTTTGAAGCTCCGAGTCCGCTACAAGTATTTAAATTAAATGTTAATGTTAGGAGAATGGGTGGAAAGAAGGGTAATTGGGCTAATAATAGGAAAAAAGGTATCGGAAATTCTAGGCTTAATTTGCAATTTTATTGAAAATGGAATGAACGAAAGCATAAAGCATCTCCAATTGCCTGGTTAAGTGTTGCGTGTGGAAATCCGAGAGGGCAGTCAAAAGTATTGAAAAAAGCGACAAAATGCCTGGGTAAATTTGAGAATCGGGGGAAAGAAAAAAGTGATTCTCATACCTCTTACTTATGCACCACGGGGCGCGAGAATTTAAAATTACGGCATTGTGCGCTCGCGCGCGCGCCTCAAGCAACCTCGGCTACTCATCGTTTCTCTCTCGTAGGCGTGCGAGCGAGAGGACACGAGGAGGCGGGGGACGACGCTGGTGCGGGCGAGACGGCACGAAGGTTTGAGGGAGAGAGCGTAGAGTAGCCACCGCGTTGACTTCAGCAGTGTTTATTCGCGCCTGCTGTCTCCTTCTTTCTTTCACCTCCCCCAGTCCCTCTTGGACACAACAACCTAAGCTCTCCCGGGCGCCATCTGCCGCGCCGTTTCCGTGACTCTCCGTGAAACGTTTTCTCTCCTCTTCTCCCACACAGCTAAGAAATCGGCTTGGTGTGCCCAATGCATGTGTCCGTTTGTGCCCGTCCAGCGCACTTAATAGCAACGTTATAACTGTATGTGGCGCGTCTAACTTTGCTTGTGTGTCCGTCTCACAAAGTTTTCGAGTCCGGAGACCGATGGTGTGTAGTTGCGTCGTAATCTTCGCCATCGGATTTTTCACGCCAATTTGTAAATAAACGCGTGCGCGAGCCAATATATATATATATATATATATATATATATATATATGTGTGTGTGTGTGTGTGTGTGTCTGTCTGTCTAAATATACATACATATATGCATACAGATTTAGATATATAGATCATATATTACGCATATATACATATGCACGGACGCACATATATGTATATATATACATACATATGATAACGAGCGTCCCGTCGTCCTGCTTCTTTTTATTCTCAAAGCGCTTTCGCAACTTTTTTCTCGAAAGAAACGATATGAGCATGCGAGCGCTCGAGTTGTAAAGCGCAGAGTGCGAGAAAAGTCGCGAAAGAGTGATAAGAAAAGGGGAAACAATTTTAAAAGAAAAAAAAAACAAAAACAAAAAAGAAAGGAAAAAACAGGCAAAGAAAACAATGAAGTGAAATCACGGTCAAAAACACTGAAAGAGAGAATAGGAATAGGTATGTTTGTATCTTATTGAAGAGAGACGAGACTGCGGATGATGCCTCGTCCTCGTGGATGACGTTCGCTCGATGAGGAACGAATGATTAAAGTTATATTTATTCATTCGAGACATAATTCACGTAGGAGGTTAGAGCGCTTGTGCGTCGCGTAACGCTCAAAGGAATAAAAAGGGGGGAAAGAAGAGTAAAAAGAAGAGGAAGAATTAAGTAGTGGTAGAAGGGCAAGAAGGAAAAAAAGAAAGAATGCCGGCGACGCCAGTACGACGGTTGACAATCGACGGCTGTCGCGGCGGTGAACTGCTGACCGCTTCGAATAACGCGTCTCTCCACTCCTGAGAGTTCCTCAATTTTCTTCAACAATCACCCCCGCATTACCCCCTCCGCAACCGGGCCATCCCCATTTACGTGTCGGGTAAATTAGTGCGTGTGTGTTAATTTTTAGTCGCCGTTGTTGTTGCTAATGTGTGCACCGCCAGGACATTCTATGTTTCTCCTTTCTTTTCTGGGCTTTCGCGCGCGTCCCTTTTTCGCATCAAGATTTTGGAGGTTAAGTCGCCGGTAGTCCATCATAACCTAAAAGAAGCTTCGCAACTGCTAATATATTACTGATCTAATATATTACACTTTGTTGTACAACAGGACGTAGAGTTTTCAATAGTTTTTCAACAATTCTTCAAGGAGGCTGCTTTTATATCAATTTTTTTAAAGAGCATCGAAAGAGAGAGAGAGAGAGAGAGAGGGTGAGGAAAAGAGAGAGAGAGAGAGAGAGAGAAGATTTGCTTCTTTAAAAAAACGAAGTCGAGGATGAACTTGCCCCTGGTGAGATTATGAAGGCGAATGGGACGAACAATGGTGATTATTTATACAATTTCTTTGGTGAATGTTTTTCAAATTTGTTTTAGATGTTTTTACCAAGTATTAATTTGCGATTTATGACTATTTCATTGCGTCTTTGTGTATTTTCCAAATCAGCTGTGATCTGTGCTGGACCATTTTTATGTTTTATTTTCATTTACCAATTTCCATGTCTTTTCTTCTTTCACTTCCTTTAATGGGTACATTTTTAGAAAATTCTTTACTATTCCATTGGTGCAATATTGATTCCCATTTACGCTAATGCAGTTTTTATAGCTTTCTTTATACCGTTTGACTTTAACTATTTGACTTTAATTTTGAGATATATTAGAAAGTTTTTATATATAGTATAATAAATGCATATGAATGTTTCATCAAATTGTCAATATCGTAACATAAATTCCCATTTAAATATTTAAAGTTTACAGGGCATCTGTACATTCAACTTTATTATTATCAAATTCACGCCATTTTTATAATAGTACAATAATATTTGAAGCAAAGTAGTATCACATATATTTTAATTATAAGATCGATGTCGCTTGTATGTTTATTGAACTATCCAGCTCATTATGCTTTTATTGCAATATAATCTTATGTATTCATCTAGATAATAAAATTTTATGTATCAAAAAGGAAATTTAACGATACTTGAAAATTATAATAGTGACATTTAATTTTTAAACGTATAGCCAAACAACAAAGTATATAACATGGAATTAAGGATTTACAAAATCTCTCTAGAGTTTCATAAGTTTATTGTAAGGTTCCTTTAATTACACACACACATATATGTATATATATATATATATATATATATATATATATATTATTTTCAAATACGTGTACATATTACCTAACCTGTACAGGTTTTTATTATTCAGGCTGTAGCCGTCTAAATACACCATTGGCAGCCACCACCACGCTGGAGGATCCAGGGACTCCGGCCTCGTGGAAGGGGCCACCACCAGGCTCGGAGGCCTCCCCATTTACACCAAATTCAGTTAACCAAGGTGGCGGGCCAAACTCTGGCCCTTACAATAGCACGGGTGGTCCACCAAGCAATGCCGGTGGATTCCAAGGGCCAAGCCCATTCCCTGGTAATGCAGGCAGTCCGGCTGGTGCTCCTCCTTACCAAGGCCCACCACCTGGTTCTGCAACGCCTCAGTACACTGCCTCCCCAGCACCGAGTGGCTCTTCCACGCCAGGACCAGGACCTCCGCCCAATGCCGGTGGCTTTCCACCTCCTCCAAATAACTCTGGGCCTCCGTACAACGGTGTGTAAACATTGTTATAATAGGAAACATAATTTTGTAAATATAGGTATTAATATGGAAATCTTCAACTATTCTATTAATTGTTATTGTTCAGCCAATCATTAATTAAAACAATATATTGAAAATCGTTAAAATACAAATTATCAAAATGAATTTATTATTTTCCAAATTTTTATTATGTATTGTTTAATAATACACTATTCTTCTCTAATGAATACAAAATTTTTGTAATAAATACATTGTAATTATATTTTGCTTATAAGATTCGTATTTATATTTGAATTAAAATGATATAGTCATGGTGAAGAGCTTAAGTATATATTTTATAAGTATCATTTCCAATTTTAGTGAATCTTAGATAAAAAGTTAAAGAACGAAAATTGGATGTTTCAAATTTGAAAACAAAGTCCTAAATATTTACTAGAAACAATATATATTTTCTCTAATAATGCTGTATGAGCTTTCAAAATAAAATCTGCATTTGGAATGTAAGTAGCATAACAAATTTGAGTTAGTAGCTTCGCTGACATCCTACCGATAAACTCAATACATCATTACTAATATCGCAACATTTGATTGATAAAACAAAACAAAATAAAACACAAAAAAAACAAAAAAACAAAAAAAACAAAAAAAACCAAAGAACAAAAAAAAACCAAAGAACAACAAAGAAAAAACTCGGCGAAGATAAAGGAATTAAATGAATAAATAAATAAATAACGGAAAACATGTCATTACAATGTGACGTAAGCTGGAGCTCCAGTTATTCGTTGTCGCGATAAATCGTGGCTTCTCCTTGCCTCTTCGTCTTATTAATGACTGGCCGCGTGAGCCGTTAACTTTATACGCAAGCGCAGAGCGCGAATTACGAATAACTAAACAAAGGCCGTTTGTTGCGGGAATCGGCGCTGCAGGTCCGAGTCCCTTTGGCTCGCCATCGGGTGGCCCCGGGCAGTTCGTCGGTAGGCCCGGATCCTCGGGCCCGCCCTTCGTGCCGTCTGGCGGAGGGAATCCGCACTTCCCCTCACCTGGGCAACCTTTCGGTGGGCCGCAGTACGGCATCCCTCCCGGTAGCCCCTTCGGACCTGGCGCTCATCCCATGGCCGGGCCCATGGGCCCCGGACATCCAGCGATAATGGGTCCCGGTGGTCCCGTCGACAGAATGGATCAAGGGTGAGTGAACTTGCACATTTCTTCTACTTTTTGTGAAGATAGTCACGAATAGTTTCCTTCCTGATGGATGCAACTTTATTCGTGGATACAAATTACTTTATTTTATGTTACTTTATTCTTTTACGTAAGACAGGTCGAGGAACTTTTATCGTGCATGATGATCGATTCCATAAGTGTATGTAATATGTAAGACTCTTCAACAAATCATTATAATAATATAAGGAAAAGCAATTTTAACAATTTAAGTAAGGAATGATACACTTTTGGAGATTAATAGAAAGTAATTTTTTTTTGGTACAATAATATATTCGTTTGAAAATTTGTTATCGACACTTTTTTGATAATAATTCGCGTGATGTTGCATTTCAAGTGGAGCTTTCTATTTTTTTTCTTAAATGTTTGGAATTAAATAGGGTACTTTATTATAAGTTTCAGATTATATTTTATTTTTATTTTACACACGAATATCATTTATGAAATCAGATTCTTTATGTTTACCTCAATAAATATGGATTACAAAATTTTATAAATACAAAAAAAGAATACAATTGTGGACTTTTTTCTGTAATTATATTAATTATATTATCGTCTTTTTTTTTGCATAAATAAATCGTAATATTCATTTTCATTTAATTTAACGTAAAAATTACCGTTAGTCTGCATTTGTATTTTTAACATAAACGAGAAAATATTTATTCAGTGTAATTTCCCAAATTTTTTTGTAATTTACTACTACGTTATTAATTATTATTTAGTCATCTACGGTAAAATGGATTTTCGGTAATAATAAATAATCAATGTTATTAAATATTATATATGTCTACTCAATATCATGATTATGTACAAGGAATTTCTATGACGATTAAAACAAGAAACCTTGAATATCAGCATATATATATATATATATATATATATATATGTTACTGTACAGAATATTTCATGACATATATTACTTTATGGTTATTAATACATATTGATGAACAAGGAAAATATAATCTCACAATTAAAAGTATATGACACATGCGCGCAAACGAACACACATATATGTTTAATATATTTAATTAGTGATTAACGGTGTAATAAGATTTATATTTTTTTGTACTCTACGTGAAAAAATAATAAACACTAAAAAATAAAAGGTAGAATATGTAGATAATTTTTAAATATTTCAGATTAAATTCTGCTCTCCTACTCTTATTTAAAGGACTTAAGTAGAGTACTCATCTCATTAGCTACTTGAATAACATAAATCTCTCATTTTATTAGATACTCTCAAAACTTGTACTAAAATTGATAAGGACTCAAGAGTTATTACTTTATTATGTTTATTTGTAATAAGTAAGGTAAATAAATGTTATATTTTATTTTATACCTAAGAATCTTTATGCGTATATGCAAAATGTGTTGATTATTGATTCTAATTGATGAGCTTTAAGTTAAAAATTCCGACTGTGTATATTTACTACTTAAATAGTTTAAACGGATGTTGGATGATTTGAAGTAACACAGTGAAATTCCAAAAGGGCTAATAAATTATAAAAATATATTATAGCTACGAGTAATAATCATATCTTCATAATACGATATAATAATTACAACTATATCGTAAAATTTCATGAAATAAAAAAAAATGTGACAGTGTGTAATCTTTAGGAAAAAAGGCATTTATAGAAAGATAATGTAATGTAACTGAATTTCGTTCCAACTTTTTAAATGATTATCGATTTTAATTGGTATGGACCTTCTCGCTAAAATTTTTACAAGTAATACCGACAATATAATACTTTGTTCTTTCGATGCGCACCAAGATTAATTAGGCTTTGTCAGGGTTACATTGAAGGGAACAATGAGAGGGTGACGAAGTCTCTGCACAGCTGTGGTAGCAGAAGGAAATGAGTACTTTGAAGTTTTTTGCGGGAGTGTCGCTCACTTTTTCTCAACTAGAGGGAGAATTTATTTTTCTTTTACTTTTTTGGTGCGCGAATTGACCATTTTGGCTCTGCTACTGTCTCTCATATATATAAAAAAAAAAAAAAAAAATCGTTAAGCAACTCATGCTGCCGATGATTTTCGCGTTTTCTTTTCGAATATCAAGATCCTTATGCTTTAATCTTTTTATTTTTATTTGACCTTTTGACGTCCAACTCCAACGTTTCTCTTTCTTCATGATATAATGATTCTAACCAATCTAATTAATGATAGCCGAGTATTTGTATTTTTTGTGGTTTTATTTTATTTTATTTTTACCTCGATCAATTGCTGTAAGTGATTGAATTAACGTAGAATTTTGAAATGTGATACTAATGATTTTGAGATGAGAGTGAATAATGATTTTCTTTTTTATTTTTCAAAAGGATATTATTCATATCTTGAAATATTTATTTTAATTTTGTGTAAATTTTCGTGCATATGTTGCAAATTGCATAAGTTATTTTCCAAAAATTTAGAGGAATATTTAATTATTCATTATATGTTTAGTATTGCAGAGAGAATATGCTGTGACATAATGGGACAGCATTTGCTTGCTACTGCATACATCTTCAATTCACAACTTGACGATTATAGTTTCAACTTTGAAAGTATTCTAATGTATTAAGATGTATTTTAATGTTGCAGCTAGGAGGATAGAAAAATTATTTTTTACACTAACACTAGATGCTAAAAGGTAAAACTTAGGTGAAAACAAGTTTTTGATAATTTACTTAATCACTATACAAGTATAAATATATCTAAAAGAATATTATTTTCATTTCAAATAAAAATTACGGCAAGCTTTCATAGCATATTTGTTTAATGTGTTACACTTCGTATGAAATGGTAACTTTTGTTTCGTTTCTGCAACATTTAATAAGTCTATTTGATAGTAATACCATGTCAATTATTCATCAAGATGGCTATTTAATATTAAATAATCAAGTAAGCAAATATTAATAAATTATAGAAAAGTAATTACAAAAATTTTAATTAATACTTTAAAGTATTATTAATTTATACTTTTATTTAATCGGTTATTTATATTAACAAGGCATTAATTTTGGGAATGTACTTTTTTGTAAGTTACATTTCATAATTATTTAAACTGAAAATATATAAATTATGTTACAATTAAAAATAGTTTATTCTAAAATTAAATAATTCAAAATAATATTATAGGAATAATAATAATGTTTAATAATGTTATTGATATCACGAAAGCTTTATTTTCTTGTAACCGAACTTTTTCATTACACTCACACAACGAGAGCGACAGAGAGAGAGAGAGAGAGAGAGAGAGAGAGAGAGAGAGAGAAAGTCTTTTCACATCTTGATTGATTCTTAAAAAAGGATTAGAATTATAAATTTTTGTTTATATATTTTTTGTATAAATAAAATTTTTAAGAATTATTTTTTCTATATAAACAAAATTTTAATGTAATGTGTAAAGTAATTGACAATCTTCTGATATAGTTTCAAGTGAAAATTCTATAGTTTTATAATAAAAATTTATGAAAGTATTTATGCAAATAAAATGAAAACCTATCACCACATTTGAAAATTATGTGTAAAGTTATGGTAGATCAAATTCAATTCTCACGAGACATTTAAAAGTTCACATGCACGCTTGCACGTACGCACTTCATAAATCAAACGATTAATTACGTTTATATACATACTGGAATTTTTAATCTAATTTTAAGAATAAATAATAAATTAAAAAATCACTATTTGATTGAAAATTTGAACGCATATATTCGAAGAGTGGAAAATAAAAATATTTATTTACAATGTTTAAGGAGTTATAGTATTTAATAAACTATAATTACTTATTATTAATTATTTATTATTCATAAATGGCTATCGTTTAATTAGCAATTTATTATTTTTCCAAAATGCTTAAGCAAATTTGTTAACAATTTGAAAAAGATATAATTAATTTTATAACATTTTATAAATATTAAAAAATTATACCGCATAAAAAGAATTTTTTTTTTTAATGTAGAAGTTAATTTATTTTTATATATACTCGTTCACATTTATCTTAAACTTTTTCTCTATATGTTCTAAATATGTAATATAAACAGTGGTATATTTTATTAAAATAACACTTATAATAAATATAATATTGTATATAATTAATGAAATTAAAGAACATCAATGAGCTAAAAAAGCCTTACATTATAATATTATACTGAATTCATTGACGGTTTTAGAAAGAAATTAAATTCATATAAAATTTATTTTACCGATTGTACAATGACAATAGAATAGTATTGTACATAATGCGTAGGAGAATATTTGATATTTAACTATTATAGAATTGTTTTAGTATTATATGTCAGTTTGATTTACATATTGGTATTTATTTAGAACAAATTGTAATTCGTATTAATATAAACAATTAAAGTAAACAATAATAAATTAATCGAATTTTGCTGACGTTAGTAATATTTATAAATTTTGGTGAAAATTGAATTTTTAAATAGTTTATCGATTCTGTCATAGATAAAATAATAAAAAGAATACGGAGTGTTCAGCAACTCAATTAGTTCAATTACTTAAAGAACTCTGAATCAAATTATAAACTATGCTTAATTTTGTTTTAATGATCTACAAAATCAATAATATATTGTTTTTATTTGACATATAAAATATTTATTATAAGAATTATATGATTTGTTATTATTAAATTTGTACATGTAATTATTATATAAATTAATTTTAAATTTCATTTATTAGTCTTAGATTCAATAGCATCAGTCAATGATGTTGATTATTAATATTCTTTGAATGTAATGCATTTCATACATTTTTGTTAAATAATTTAAATTAAAAATTTGTAATGAATTTCACATTTATTTTAGGAAGAATTTGCCATTATTAATTATGCATTCACTTTATTATATGGATAAATTAATTGAAGCCTAAATAGAAAGTAGAATTATAATTATATTATTACTGTAAAATTTTATAACTATAAAGTAAACATTTCCTGTATAAAAACCAAGTTTACTCGTATAAAT